CCGCGTCCTCGCGCGACGCCGGGGTCTGAACGCTCCCGGGCGGGGGCGCCCGACCTGTTGATTCGAGCGCTTCCTTCAGCACTCCGCTGCTGCGGGGAGCGCGCCCGCAGAGTTGAGGGTCAGGCTCCTGCCGCTGCTGCTGCCATTTTACCTGACTTGAATTTACAAGTCGTGGCCTGAGAAAGCTTTGCTTTCAAATGATGCAATAGGTGGATGATCTGGAGGAGGCGAGTTGGGATTCTGTCTTTACTGCCAGAAGATCCTGGTAACGAATAAATATTGTGTTTTAACTGTTGACCTTAAGAACTGATCACAATTATGCTACTGGCAGTTAAGGTTAGCCAGAGCTTTCTCTAGAGCTTGTCCAGGTCATGGATGTATTGTGGGACCTTCTATCTACACACAAGGCTAACAGTGAGATAGCATATTTGCTACTATTTTCTTCTGTGATGACTTATTTATAGCTTTAGGCTGTAGTTTTGGTATGCCTGCCCTTTTTAATTTTATATCCCTAGATCTTTTTTGTAATAACACCTTTACTACTTTGACTGTCATTTCCGAAGAAGTTTCTATGGCTCCCTCTTGTGTATACATTAAATATTCATGCTGTTGGCATTGCAGGATCTCTACAGTGAGGTCCCAGTTGCTTATCCCAGGTCTGTCTCCAGCTGCTTCCCTGTCCCTATCCAGGTAGTTTAATTGCATTGAAAATGAAGGGACAATCCTGAGCATGATGACAGAGGCCTGTAATCTCTGCTATCAGATGGCCCAGGCAGGAGAATCACAAATTTGAGGTTACCCAGGACTAAATTGTGAGTTCCAGGCTAGCCTGGATCATATCCTCATCCACTAGCATGGGGATTTTTCTTCCCCAGTAAGGGAAACAACAAGACTCAGAACCTCTCATAACTGTGGAGTAGTATTTCTGACTCTTGCTCACTGTTGAGGAAATGCAAGCCATAATAGTGGGTGTAAACTGGGACTGTCTTGGCCTAATCCAGACAAGGGACACTCAGTGTCAACTGCCAATAAAAAAAGCTCAGGAATGGAGCTTTAATGGATAGCTGGTGAAGAGGGCTTCAGCTCACGTGGAAGTTAGGTTTCAGAGCAGCCTGGCACAAAGACTTGAATACATGCTTGTTGACTGAATGTATGACTGCAGGAAAGTTATGGCTTGATCAAGCCTGAGGTTTTGCCATATCGTTGATTGACTATTAAGCTCTTATTTCATGTTAGGTATTAGATAGTCTTAGGTGATGGATAAGGCACAAAGAGACTGTTTGTTCATGTCAAATCTACCTTTATCCCTCCTGGTATACAGGTATATTGGCATAAATTTATCCACTCTTTACTGAGTACTCACTCTGTGCTTAAATTTGGTACCTTAGAAGGAGAAGGTTCAGTTTTGGTTGCCTAGGTCTTAGCGTGGGTGGGTGGATACTTCATGTATGGAAGAACCCAGGGAACAGTTTAGGGTGGGCAAGCAGGTGTGCATTAAGGTGTTGTAGGTGGTATTCTTGAGATACTTGTAAAAAGTCCCTGACTGTAAGTGGACTAAAAAGAGCCCACCCTGAGTGTACATGACTGTTCTTGTGTTTCACCAGGTGAGTAGGATGGAAGCAGCTTATCCAAGGGTCCATACCCTGGGAACACTTTGCTCTGAAGCTCTTGTGAAGTAAAAGGACAAAGTGGTGTGGCTGAGAGAGCACTAAGCTCTTTGCCTCACTTCTGTGCGTGTGTTTGGGGATTAACTTGCCCATGGCCATTTATTCATTGAAATGGCAAACATCTGATTATCTTAGGTGTCAAGCTAGTGTTGATTGGAGAGACAGCAGTGCATAAGACAGAAGGGGCCTTGTCCATGACTGGTGACCTTGACTAACAAGTCACTCAGCCTCTGAGGGCTCATTCTATGTCCTGGTATTGAGATGTTAGGGCTGTGGGTTATCTAAATGTTTAGTGTCTATTTTTTTTTTTCTGGGAGGGGGTCCCTTTTGAGGTCATGGCTAGTACTAAGGGAGTCCTTTTTCTTCCTAAGTAGTAGCCAAGGAGATGATAGTGTATTCCTTGGGTGGATTTTTGTTTTTTGAAAACTGATTCCCTCCTGCCCCAAGGTGGGGGTTTCTTTATGTAACAGCTCTGGCTATCTTGGAACTCACTGTGTAGATCAGGCTGGCCTTGAACTCAGAGATACACTTGCCTCTGCCTCCCAATTTCTTCGATTAAAGGCATATGCCTCCACTGCCTGGCTTGAAAACTGATTTTTAAAATGACTTTTTAGATTCTAAAAAGAGAAGCGCAGTTACATTTATATCATCACACACTTAATGGAAATGAGCAATTTGTATATATGTACATATATATGCACACACACACACACACACACACACACATATATATATATATATAATTTGGTAAATTGCATTTCAAATTAAAAGTCATTTGGTAAATACAGTTATTAGGTTATTAATAGCTTTAGATTTTGGATTTAATATTTAGAGTTTTAATTAGTCATTCTGAGCCCATTATTAAGTAAGAAAATTAAGCCATACATACTCTCTTACACAATACATACAAGGCATTTTATTAAAATTTTATGGGAAGGTACAACTAGGAAGCCATCTAAAAGGCTACTTGGGGAAGTGATAATGAAAAAAAAGTTGAGAAACACTGAGTCATGTTGAAGAAATGGCTTATGGAAGGTGTTCATAGCTTGTTCCTAATGCGTGTGGTCTCACTATGTACCTCAGGTCAATCTTAACCTCTTTCTTAGGCCCTAGTGATCCCCTTGTCTCAGCCTTGTAAGTAGCTGGGACAGCAGCCATGTGCTTCCAGCCTGGCTTCATGGCCTGGTTTTTTTTTTTTTTTTTTTTTT